CCTGTCTCTCTCTCTCTCTCTAATCGATTATACAATCTATTGATATGTTGTTCAATATTAGGGTAAATGTGCTGTACATTGGGTGCACCATATATAAAGTACCCGGGAAATGGTGCATAATTGTATTAAACATGTATTTTGTAGTATACTGTAGTATATTAATATGTTTTGCAACCAGCACGCTATGCAATCATTTGTAAAAATAATATAATGTTTTATTTATTGGTATTTATATTATTGAGTTATTGATCTCATTATCATAATTATTTAGGTGGGTAGGGGCTCCATGGGGCTAGTATTGTGGGATATGGATAGGGAGTTAAATATTGTTTATTTATAAAAGTCTTTGTGTTTAGATTTGTAATTAGATTTGTAATGAAATGTGAGATTTTAGACCATAGTTTACATGATATTTATTGGATAGAAAAATATTTTACTTTGAAATATATGAATACAAATAATTGAACTGAAAATACTTTTTCTCAGAAATGGTGAATAATTTTGTAAACTATTTTGATATTTGTATTTTCAGTGCCTTTTGATAATATATTGCAGATTTACACAGCTACATACATTAATTATTTATATATTTATACACATAACTAGATATAATATAAAGTACATTGAAGTCAATGATTAAAAATGTATGTTTTTTTCAAGTGTATACTTTAAAAACCCATTTTTGATTCATAAGTAATTTTTATCGCAAATACTATTAACGTATTTATGTTATAAGAAAAAATATATTAATCTAACGATTGGTTTATAGATTTAATGAGATATTCATACATAAAATAGTTTTCCATATATTTTTCGTCAATGAGTATGACTTTGAGACTCAGAAATCGTATGAAAAATTGAATTTCATTTCTTGCAATCAATTTGTAAATCATTTTGTCATTTGCAATGATTAGCACTTTTACTATCGACTTATATTTATAGCTAATATTTTTGGAGCCAATATTACAGTCAAATATCGCTATATACATGTGTGCTAGTTTATAATCTATTCAAACATATTGCTAGTTATATAACCCGTAAAATAATAATAATATTTATAAATTAACTATCATAATAAATATTTGCTATAAAATATTTTGCTCTCAAAAAACTTATTTGAAGTTTAAATCCATTAACACATGAGTAGACAACTACTTATTGTCTGTATTTTTTTCAAGACCATTTAAGCCACGATTTTATAGGCATTTTATTATTCGTCTATTTCTATGGCAAAAAGCACTTAAGATTTTACGTAAAAACGCATAAAAATATTTTTTGTAAAAATAATAATTTTTAGTAATTATTTTCAATATCTTATAAAATTCATACAAGACACGTATAGCTACTGTTTAATCCAGTACGATTTATTAATACATTTAATTGCCCTATTATTATGGCTATTAAATAATGTACCCCCATATTAGGCACTACTACTATCATTTGAACTAGCATAATAAAATAATTATAGAATATTCTGTATAGTCGACTAATTGTATGTTAAGTGAAAGTTAGCAAGTAAATTAATATTGCACAATTTAATTATACGGTGTACACAATACAGACAGTGATTTGTATGATTTATTATAAACATAGCATAGTTTATGGCAAATATTAGCACAATTTATTGCATAGCAAACACTAACTCTTTGCTAGCAATTAGTTTGTTTGTCATATATTTCATTGTATTATTGTCTTTGATTTTTGCTCAATCATTAGCACCCGATATATCCCATCCCCCATATCTTCCAGAGATATATATTATTTAGGCCTTACATAGACT